GATTCCAGTGACTGACCCAGGGGTATCTTCTTTACCAATGAGCCTGGCAAGGCTCATAGTTCTCCAAGCAATCCAAGGCCCTTTCTGCACTAGACCTTTAATTCTGGTTCAACGATGTCTCCTTGTAGCTATTCTGCACCACACTCGGGTTCACGTCTCTTTTTATTGACTTTTTTTGGTCAATTCTGCATTACATTGTGGGTTTGGATCACCGTTGCCCCGTGGTATATGGATCCTGTTTTGCTGCAGGCTTTCCCTCGATCCAGAGTGGCCCCGGTGCAGATTTAAGTGTAGAATTTTTAACTCAGTTTTGATCCTCCCTGCCCCTTTCCCTCCATACCTAGGACATTAAACCCGGGTTTACTGTTTGCAATGCGGAATTTATAACCTGGGGCAAGCAAGCAAATTGGAGTGGGACAAAATTAGTGCAGAAAACAACAGAGAAACAGAGGTAACAGCAAGGTAAATGGTTGCGAGTCGAACACAGAGAAAACCTGGGGTGAGGTCCAAGGACAGAAAGGGCCACAGAGTAGTATTTTGTCCCCCACGAAATGTGAAACATCTGGCAGCTAAAGAATTCCTATTGCCAGGCCACAGTAGCTGGTACTGCTATATGCGTGATTGCAGGAGTTTGAAAAATGGGCTGTTGTGAGTGGACAAATTAGGGGGCTGTGTGTAGAGCCCAATGCAGAGGTGATGGTTCAAGTTAGTGATGTCTCCCTGTGTGCATACTCCCTGGCTGTGTGCTCAGCCAGAAGCCCGATGTCTCAGGCTGGGGCCACCAGCTAAGTCACTCGGTTCTTGCTTATACCTGGAATTAAACTTTGTAGGTCTTAAAGGTGCCACTGGACTCCAACTTCATTCTCATATAAACAAAGTTTGAGCCCAATGGCACGTTTAAGACCAACAAAGTTTAATTCTGGGTATAAGCTTTTGTATGCACACACACTTCATCAGAACTTCATTAGTTCTCACATCTGTTTGTTAACCCTTTTATTTGTATGCTAATTTGCTGCTATTCACAGGTCTTACCAACTGCTTTAATGAGACATGCAGGTGCTCCTTCATGAAATTCCATCGATTCACCCAGAAGATCAGCTATCCAAAGAGCATATATTTTATATTTTTAAAGGAAGAATGTAGCATGCAGCACTTAGATTATGATAATATGGCTGGGATACTGAAAAGTATGCAGACGGAGAGTGATTTCAGCAAAGCGTACTTTATTCGATCAGGAACAAGATGACTTGGGCCGGCTCGCAGGCCGGCTTATATCCCCCGAGAAACCACCACCCAAAACACACCCCTACTACCTAATAGGTTATTTACAGTGGCCTAGAGTCCCATAGGCTCTCTGGCGGGAACCTAGCCCCCTGATTGGAGCGGGCTAGGATCTGCATGGTCCATTGTCTCTTGGAGCGAAGCTCAACGTTTGGGTCTGACCACGTGGAGCCCAAGCCGGCCACGCGGTCTGGACTGGATACATTACAGATACCAAGTACCGCTGTTGAAAGAAAAGCAAACCTGCAGCCATTCTGAAATAGCTGAAATAGCTGAAAATGTGATTGACTTAGAATGATTGTGTTGGAAGGCCTTCACTTATCCTGGGTTTTCCCCCAATATCTCATCTGCTTCTCTCCATTTTTTTCTTGGCTCTTTACCAGGACTCCTACGCACCCAATGATGTTTACAAGCAAAAGAACCGTTCCGTGTAAATAACAGGAAATGTGTGATTCTGAATAGGATATTGCTGGATTTTAAAATAGCTAAAAACTGGATCATGTCATTGGTTAGAGTACAGCAAGTTTTCCAGGACCTACATTTCAAAGGGTCCCTCTCAGTGACACACCCACCCACTCTCTCTTGCAGTATAGGAGGCGAGTATGCCCTCCTGTGCCTGAGGAAGCGGGACCTCATGGAGCCAATGTAAATGTTTGCTGATGACTTTGATTTGGATTCTGATCTCAGATTGTAGTAAACTTGACTGACTGACTGACCAGCAGGCAGTTAGAAATGCAAAGATTCCTTTGCCTAGAGAGACCAAAGCAGTCTGTTGCTCTGGCATGTTTATGCTGAAGAAATGGATACCTATTTTGGTGGTGGAAAGTGCTATCCAGTCACCCTACCACACGGCAGGGAAAACACCGGTCAAAGTGCGGCTAATTAGAGCCGCACCAAAATAGAGACACTGCGGGCGGGATCCCATGGATCCCGTGAGCCGCGCACCGTTGCTCCCCGGCACCGTTGCTCCCCGGCACGATCAGATGCCGGGGAGGAAGAGATGAGTGGGAGGGGGAGGCTGCCGAACTGCGCATGTGTGAGCATGCGCAGTTCGCCCGGGGGCTGGGGATGCGCCGACGGCAAGACGTGCCGGCGATCCCACGGCCAGCCGTGATGCGGACCTACCGGATGAACCACCTAGGTAGGTGGTTCATGTTTGGTGCGGGGCTGTCGGGGGAAGGGCGGTGGGATCGCGCCCGTTTTCTGCGCCCCCGATCCGGCCCACTCCCGGCCCAAAACCCCTCATGTAGACACAGCTGACTTATGGTGACTCTGTGGGGTTTCCGAGGCAAGAGACGTTCAGAGCTGGTTTGTCATTGCCCACCTCCATGTCATGACCCTGGTATTCCTTGGAGGTCTCCCATCCCAATACTAGCCAGGGCCGACCCTGCTTAGCTTCATGAGATCTGACAAGTTCGGGCTAGCCTAGGCTATCCAGGTCAGGGCCAAAAACATATTTTATGCAGGAATAATGAGGCCTGTCAGGGTTTCTTCCCCCCACTGGCAAATAGCAGCTTGGATGGGATAAAGCCAGTACGGCAAAACGCATAGGGACTTTGTATAATAAATTAGTCATTTATCACCTGGCATTTCCCCCTTTTTGTTCTGCTGAATTTCAGTCAGCCAGAGCTGTCTCGGGTAATGCACACTGTTGTTCCCTGCTTTTCTCAATCATATTTCATAGTCTTAAACCACAGGGGTTGCTCCTCCCCTGCCTGCGTGTCTGGGGCCAGGAAGGGGAGGATTTTGCTTGAACTCCCACTTGCCATTTGAGCTGCTTGCTTTTGCTGTGTGTCGATTAGTATCAGCTCAAGGTTGCCAAGAAAGGTACGCAAATGAAAGGTGTGCTGGCAGCCGCTCTCTCTTTCCTCTGTATTACTTTATCCTTCGATATCCCCACCTCGAAACTTAACAAGGCAGTGCTTGTAGGATACCCACCCACGCCCTATTTGTTTTTCTAAACACAGTCCCAGTCAGCTGACCAGTTCGGCAGGCAGCCAAATGCAGAATCCGAGCGCACAAAGGACTCGAGTGAGTTAACCCATCCCTGGGTTGAGGAACCGGAGATTACAGTTAGCTGGGCTGCCACTGGCTTTCCAAATCAGGTCCAGCCAGAGCAATGCTGAATGCAAGAAGCGTCCTGGTGACTGGATCCAACCGAGGCATTGGCCTGGAGCTGATCCGGCAGCTGCTGGGGAAAAGCAAGCGGCCAGAATGGATCTTTGCAACCTGCCGGGACCCAGAGGGACCACGTGCCCAGGTGAGCATCAAGGCAGAGTCAGCCCTACAGTGAAATGGGTGCCTGAACTAAAGGGTCCACTTGGTGCTACAAATGACATGTCTCAGTCAGGGGATGCCCAAGTGAACTGAGTGGCTGCTTGGAGCACCAATCCCTGAAGGTGGTAGATCAAGATGGGTTATAATTCCCTGTCTGCAAGTTACAATCGCTTTGTCTTTAAACCCATTGGATTTGGCGGGGCTTCTTTTGGGTAAACACCCTTAGGGTTATCCTGTTTTTTTCTCAGAAAAGAGTGCCCTGGGAAAACCGTTGGGGAGAATGTAATGTCCATGTATAAAGTTTTCATTTGAGTTACTGATCCTAAAGACAGAGCACACGGCCTCTTTCAGAGGCTAACCCAGAAGACCTCAGCACCAGCTCATGCTCCGCGCCTCTGTGTCCT